TTAAGTTGGGTAGCTTGAGATGACACCACAGAGCCTGTTGTAGGTGGTCAAATGTGCATTGATTGGTGGCAATTTCCCATGATGAGAAGGTGTTGATGGAATCAAAAAATGTCCAAGAACTGTGAGAACTAAGTAAAATAGTGTCTCACATCTACTATATCATGTAGAGAGAAGATTCTGTTTCATCCGGTCCTGCATTCAGTTTCAAATAAACACAAAGAGGCTTAAATTATTTATAAACTGTTTGGCTTCTTGTCAAGCTTATTACTAACAAACTCTTACAAGTTCAATTAACCTATAATGCTTATCTATGTTTAGCCATGTGGCTTGTTACCTTTTCTCATTAAGCATTGTCTTCTTGCTCCCTCTTTATCTGGTTGGCAACTACATCTCTCTCTTTCCTCTTCCCACAATTCTCCTAGTGTGGTAGACCCACCTATAATTCCTGCCTGGATACTGGTCAATCAGCATTTTATTAAACAAATATGAGAGACAACTCTTCACAGTGAACAAGAGCATTATCTTACATCAATATCCAGTACTTATTTTTGAGAAAAGAAATGATAGGATCTTTTCATATTGTATTTTGGCAATGTTTTCCTGTGATATCATCACTTTAGCTACTGACTTTTGAGATCAGTTAGTACTTTCTAGGAATAGTGGGCTATGAGCTTTAGAGATCCTGATCACCCTTTGCAAAAAAATATACAGCTTTAGAATGTCATCTGAAAGATATGAAAGTATATCTAAGACTCATCATTAGAAATCAGTTCACATGGGGTACCACAACCAAAACTGCCATGAAATTATTAGGAACTCCATGATTGGATAAGATTCAGATGACACACAGATGAATAAAACAATGCCTCTACAAACATTAAGACAAAGAATTTGAAAACAAGTCACAGTTAATAAATTAAAATCCTAATATCACTATCCCCGTTTAAATTAATCAGTGAGGCCCTCAAATTCCTGATAACAAAGTAGGCTACTGCCATTATTGCTTGTTGTCTTACAAAGAACTAGATGGTCTGACTCTATTGCTACAAACCACACTTTGGTTGCAGTACATGGGGAAAACAAGTTGGGGATGATATGGAAGCTTTCTCCCTACTTCCTAACTTGTAGAAAAAGAAGGTACTATACAGGCTATTGGGTAAGAATTGGCTGTGGACCTTTATTATCAGCATGTCAGATGAAATGTACTGTTGATTCAATAATGAGAAAAGTAGGGTGGATTCAAACAACTACTTTCCAGTTGCATGTAAGGACAGCTCTGAGAGGGAACTCATTTCTTCTGCAATAATCCAGAACAAAATCCCATTATTAGGGAGGTCAAAAGTCATGTAGGGAAGCTACTGCAGTTGTTTTGCTTAACAGGTTATTTATGTTTATGCTGACAGGTTATTGTTGCTATCATCATTGGCCAGGGAAGCTGCTTTTGGTAATGAGTGGCTTGTATTGTAGAGGCTGGTACAAGTGAATACAGGAAGACTTAAATGAGTATCTGCATCATGCCCTCCAAAACCAAGGGAACATTAAAGAATAGAGGATACAGAAAGAATATAAGAACAGAGGATGGAATGGAACATTGTGGAAAACTGTCCTTCAAAAGTGACAGTTACCCTGCTGACATTAGAAATTTTAATAGCTGTGATCGCCTGCAGGAACTATGTTCAGAATTGGTTACATTAAGATGTCATTCTCTCTCTCTCTCTCTCTCTCTCTCTCTCTCTCTCTCTCTCTCTCTCTCTCCTCCCTCTCCTCCCTCCCTCCCTTCCTCCTCCCTCCCTCTCTCTCCCTCCCTCTATCTCTCTCTGTCTCTCTGTCTCTGTCTCTGTCTCTTTCTCTCTGTGTGTATGTGTATCCCCAAGTCGATGATTTAGATGTACAAGGCTTTGTCCTTTTGCAATTGATATGTAAGAAGCTGTCAGTAGCTGGTGTGATATTGTGGAATATTCATGTTCTCACACCCCTCAGTTGACCCACAGCCAAACATCAAGAAGAGCCACACAGAAGATGGTGGGGAAGAGCTGTAGAACTGAGAGTACTAGGAACCAACAAAGCAGGGATCATGGGTGCTCACAGAGGCTGAAGTGGCAATCAGGGATATTTCATGGGTCTGCATTAGGCCTTCTGCATACATGCTGTGGTTGTTTAGCTTTGGGTTTTTGTAGGATCTCTAATAGTGGCATTGTGAGGTCTCTCTTCTTTTTCCTGCTCATGAGGCCCTTTTACTCCATTGGGTTGCCTCATTAAGCAATGATATAAGGGTTTATGTCTACACTTATTGCATCTTCTTATTCCATGTTTGGTTGATATCACTGGGAGGCCTGCTCTTTTCTGAAAAGAAATGGCAGAATAGTGTGACTGGGGGAGAGGATAGGTATGGGAAAGAACTGGGAGAATGGTAGGACAGGGTGCCTGTGGTCAGGATATATTGTATGATAGAAGAAGAAAAAGAAAAGACAAAAAGCAAAGCCCCTAAAATCATTTTCTGGCTAGCATCCCCAATTAAAATCATGGAACTACCAAGCTAGGCTTTGGTGTAATATTTAGGATGAATATGGTTTTTTATATTTTCTCAGTAAAAGCTTTCTCAAAAAATACAGTCCTTTGGTTTAGTCATTTCATACGGCATGCATATGTCAAAACATTAAACATACTCCATAAATACATATATGTCATACATATAAAAATAAAAGGAACTAATACTTTATTTCATTATATAACATACTCATTTTACATCCTGATTAGTGAAAATCCATTGTGAATTTGTCAGTAGGGCATCAAATAGAAAGTGTCTCATTTGAAGGTTTGCTTTATGAACTCCACACTGCTCTAACAGGACAATTCTATAAAGTGTGCTAGAAGGGAGAAAACAGAAGGGGCAATTGGGTGATTATATTATAGTCTCAAGAAATTAAAAAAGAGAAGGGAAAAGAAAACAACAAGGTAGTAATGCAGAAATATGAAAGTTTCTTAATAATATTAATTTCTACATTGGGATGTATCCTACCAAAGGTCCTAGTCAAGGAAAAGAGCTCCATTATTCATTGCCATGGTACATTCCCTGATGGATGCAATGCCCTAATGTTTTCTCCATTCCTGCTAAAAGCAAATCATCTGGACAAATTCAGGCTCTCTTGTCTGTGGCAATGATCACAGTTGTTGTCACAATTCTGTCTCCATGGTTAAATGGATTTCATAAATCTTGATTCTGAGAACAAATAGGGTTGACTTGGGGCTGCAAGGCATTCAGTGAGCTCCCATGTTCCTTTGCTTAGGCCACAGTCTACAGGAAGGTCAGTACAGAGAGGACAGTTGGTAGAACACTGCCTAAAACCCAGGCAGACAGACCCATATTTCAAATGCCGAAAGCATAACTTTTAAAACACTCTTTTAAGAGGAGACAAATGTAAGGCGTGAGATGATGGATTTGATAGTTATCTAGAAATAAGCACTGCACTTGTATCAAGACATTGCAGTGCACTCCATAAATACATACAATTAGTATTAAGATTACATTTTCTAAAATAAACATAATATGAATAAATTGTGTAAGAATTAGCAAAATGTCTGTTAGTGCTTTTGTGGCTGGAAGAGCATGCTGAGATATCCCTGTGATATATAATATTTGATTTAATAATATATTCCAAGAGCTTTTAAAAGATGTATTTAATAGTCTTCATTTTCTCTCAAAAAGAAAATAAAATCTCTGGATCTCTCTATATTTGAACTGTCAATCTTTTAGATCTCCAATATTATGCTGTGTCTAAATATGCCAAACTCTTAAATAATTTCATATTTTAGATGAAGAACATCACATTTCTTTAAGTTTCTAAGTGAGGTAGCTTAAAAATTATGCTGTATTATAGAACATAGCATTTAAATCCACCAACTTATAATTTCAACACTCAACATAATTTTAAAATGTAAACATTACAAACTTTGAGCTTTAAATTTTCCCTTAAAAAATGAATGCAGGTCTGTTTTACTTGGATTTGCTTCTCACTGTATTCTTTTAGTGTGTGAGAAGAAGAAACAGCTATGATAGAAAACACCATAGCAAAATAAGTATTCAAAAGTAAATGTATTGTGTAGAAAAAATAAGGAAAGCATATTTATCTTTTCTATGAGATACTGATAATACACAAGACAAAATAAGACACTTATCCAAAGTACCAGTGGCTATGAGAAATCTATTTTTTTTCACAGAAGACTGTCTATGAGATAGATGAATACAATGTGCATGCACACTTAATTGGATATTAACATTAATTGATGACTAGCTAGAAAGTCCAGTAAAAGTTATGGGAAACACAAAAGACACCAATTATAAACTATGAATCATAATTTAAATGTCTCAGTTGTTTTCTGAAGCATATTGAAGTGTACAGATGTTACATTCAAATCTACATTTCACTGCCCAACATAATCATGACAATGTTAGGCTTTACACTTAGTGCTTCTCTAGCTTTTTATATTTCTAAAGCCTATATTTTCTTTTGCTTACTTGCTAAATATTCTTAAATTGAGTATTTTTCTTTAGTCTTCAGATATTAGTATTATTTCCACATAACATTAGAACTCTTCCATGCATGAGAATTCTGCAAAAATTTTTGAAGCATTCTACATTGAAAAAAATTATAGGTAATTATTTTTCTGTACAATTAAAATGTAGTAAAAAAGAATATATAAATTTTTGTGCAAAAAGAACATTACAAGATGTGCCATTTATATCTGTACAATGACTTACTGTTCATATCTAGCTTAAAGATGCTGTAAACACTAATTTAAGACATTATTCACTATAACTACAACAGGACAAATAATGGATAGAACAGAAAAGGAAAGCAATAAAAACTATATTGCCACATATCACGTAGTATAGCATTGAAAAGCAGAATTTATTTAATCTGATCTATTTACAGGTGTTTATCAACATGTGGATACTCTGTGAAATTTGTGATTTTTTTCTTAAATACAGGGAAAAATGAATGGTAATGGAAAATCTCAATTCAAGTTCTGGAGATTACTTTATTCTTCCGGATTTTTCTAAATGGCCTAATCTAGAAGCTGTTCTCTCTGAGGTGATCTTGATATTCCACTTGATGACACTGACAGGCAATCTATTCATCATCATCGTGTCATACCTAGATTCCCACCTGCACACCCCTATGTATTTCTTCCTTTCAAATCTCTCTGCTCTGGATCTCTGCTTCACCACTAGCTCTGTCCCTCAGCTGCTGTTGGGGTCCAGAGAAAACAACATCTTATACTGGATGCATGCTGCAACTCTACTTTTTCCTTGCACTGGGTACCACAGAGTGTGTTCTATTGGTGGTGATGTCCTTTGACTACTATGCAGCTGTATGCAACCACTTGCATTACACTGACTTCATAAATCCTCATTTCTGCCACCTGCTGGCTGCAGCATCCTGGGTAAGTGGCTTTACCACATCAGCACTTCATTCCTCCTTTACCTTCTGGGTACCCCTGTGTGGACATCGCCAAGTGGACCACTTCTTCTGTGAAGTGCCAGCACTGTTGAGCCTATCCTGTGTTGATATCAGTGCAAATGAGCTGACCCTCATGGCCATGAGTGCCATTTTTGTTGTTATACCATTTATTCTCATTTTAAGCTCTTATGGTGCCTTAACATGCACTGTCCTAAGAATGCAATCAACCACTCGAGTTCAGAAAGTTTTTGGGACCTGTGGAGCCCATCTTACTGTTGTTTTACTATTTTTCATTCCAATTATGTACATTTATCTTCAGCCTCCAGCAGAAAATTCTCAAGATCAAGCAAAGTTCATTGCCCTATTCTATACTGTTGTCACACCTAGCCTGAATCCTCTCATCTACACCCTAAGAAACAAAGATGTCAGAGGGGCAGTAAGAAGGCTGACTGGGCATGAGCGGGAGCTATGAGATAAGCCTCCTATTGTACAGTCCTTGATAAAACTGTCCGATCTTTCATAAAGGACACTTTGCTCTTTTGGAATTTCTTCTGGTCACAGAATCATAAAACATAAAACACAGATGTTAATTTATTTGAGTAAGAACACCTTTTTTCTTTCAAAATATAAAATTATGTCAGGAACATAGTCAGTGAATCTTAGAAACTTTCAACTTTAAACAACACAATCAGAAATCTGTTCCAAGTAGGTCATCTCTTCATTTTTCTGTTTTACTCAGAAACATATCCCCTACCGACTTTTGAATCTTAATATATGTTTACTTTCTTTTAGATTTTGGGATTCTTAGTATTTTAGATGGATATGAATACCTTTTGACCAAATAGAGCTTTCTTATGGATAAAATTGCAATATAAGATAAAAAAGGAAATACCTGGATAAATATTGGTTTGTCATGGGGCACATGCTAACAAGTTAAGGTAAATCTAGAATATAAGTGTCTATTATTGAGTTGAGTGGTTGATGGTGTTAATAATTAAAGCAAATCAGCCGGGCGTTGGTGGCACATGCCTTTAATCCCAGCACTCGGAAGGCAGAGGCAGGTGGATCCCTGTGAGTTCAAGGCCAGCCTGGTCTACAGAGTGAGTTCCAGGACAGCCTCCAAAGCCACAGAGAAACCTTGTCTCGAAAAACCAAAAAAAACAAAAAATAATTAAAGTAAATCAAAAGAAATAACTTAATTTGATTTAGTGAGCTTACTGACTTAGTGAAATTATGTTGAATGGTATAAATCATGGTGACTTATATTTCTACCTATCAACACCTTGCTTTTAAAAAATAGCATTATATTGTAGTTCTTTAATATGGGGCATTGGATTTTAAATAAAAATATTAAAATGGCTAGCATTGTTAGTGAATACTTCACATAAAACTTTATTAGACAATGAACATTTTATGGTTCATTGTGCATTTTAAGGTTGTATAAGTTATATTATACTATATGTGTTATACCATATTGCAACAGACATACATACATACACACACACACACACACATATATATATATATATATATATATATTTCTTTGTTCAAATAGGTGATTTACAAATTTTCCCTCCAATTTCTAGATTTTTTGTTCTTTTAAAAATACTTTCAAAAGAGCAAAGCTGTATTTTAAGAAAATGAAGTGTATTCTTTAAATTAGGCTCCTAGAGTTTTCATAAACATTAAATTATAGAACAATTTGAGAAGAACTAGTAACCAAAACCTTTACTATTCTGATGCATAAAAATTTTTTCTCATCCATTCCAAGTATTCTTTCTATATATTTTGCTAAGTTGACTTGTGAGAACTACATGATTTTCAATGCCTCAGTCAGTGCTGTGAACTACAGCTGCCCATTGTAAACTGTGTTCTGTAACAGTGACAATTGAACAGCTCAATTCATTTGTAGTCTATGTAAATTTATTTGAATATGCATGTGTGTCATGTGAATACATGTCTGAATGATGCAAGGTCTCTCAATGCATCCATCTATCACTGATGCTAGATAATCTGGATGGCCAGCTTGCTCTGGGCACAGATACATTACTATGTTTGGTGGTTGAATAAAATGGCTCCCATAGGCCCAAAAGGAGTGGAGATATTAGGAGGTATGGCCTTGTTGGAGTATGTATGCCTCGTTTGAGGAAGTATATCACCATAGGTGCAAGTTTTCAGGTCTCAAATGCTCAAGCTACTCCAAGTGTGGTTCACAGTCTCTTTCTGACACATGCAGATAAAGATGTAGAACTCTCAGTACCTTCTCCAGCACCATGTGTTCCTTCACACTGCCTTGCTTCCTACCATGACAATAATGGAATAAACCTCTGAACCTGTAAACCAGCCACAATTAAATATTTACTTTTACAAGTGTCATAGTGGTTGTGGTATTACCTCACAGCAATAGACACACTATGTTTTCCTGTTATATATGAAAACTTATGTGATCTGCTCCTAGAAAACTCTTTATTTCTTTACTTTTTGAATGTTAATTATTGTTCCAGAGACAAATATAATTTCTATCACATACAGCAGGCTACATTTATTTCAAATTAGGTCAGGATATATTGCAGGGGATACCACACAGTTTGGAGGAATCAATTTGTAGCTGACCCAGAAGACTTCTTCCTAAAGATTAACACTTATAGTATTGGAAAAAGAAGGAACCTGTAGTCCTTCCTAGCTGAAAAGCCTATAAACAACAAGAATGACTGTCACACTAAAATTTCTTCAGTGGTATGGTAGTGACACTTATATCTTGAAGGTAACCAACAGCTATCTAATTGGCCTTGAGTCCTGATTAATGAGAGAATTAGGATGGGGATCATAGATTTAAGAGGGGAACCTACTACTGGCATTTTCTTTAACTGATATAATTTCTAACTATATTCTAAATACTTATTCTTATACCACAGACAATTGTGGCTATTTTCCTGCACCAAAGAAGCTTCTTATTGCAGCATACAGAGACTATCACAGATATTCACAACAGGGAAAATATAAAGAAAGAAAAACTATCCATGGAGTACCAAAACCCAGTTGATATATTTGCAAATGAAGCCTTATACCTCAGTCTCAAGGATCATCTCAGAAGAAGGGATTGGGTAACATAAAGATTTTAAGACCCAGAGAATAATGGTGCCTACTGCTAGATAGTGTCTTGTGGACATGACAGAGAATTTTTCACTAATGAAATCTCACCAATATGGTTGCCTAAACAAGGAGTGCATAATGAAAACACTAGTGGACATGCCAACATCTATGAAAAAACTTCATGAATCCCAACCACTAAACTATGATTTAATTAATGGCTCCTGAGATTGAAAAAATAAGTTTTCTTCAACCTTTATAGGTTATCCAAATCCAGACAGTCAGTTCTAAACACACATATATGTGGACAACACTAAATGAACTCAGTAGTTGTGTGTGTGTGTGTGTGTGTGTATGTAAGTATGTATGTGTGTGTAAAAAATCAAGAAATACAAGAAATTATGTAAATACAGAAATTCTTTAAAAATTAAAATGAAAAAATAGATGGAGAACTGGATATCCATCACATAAAAATAAGCACACATAAGACAGAAAGTACCAAAGAGGGTAAGAATGAAATTATTTTAGTACATGATTTGATTTATATGAAAGAAAATGATAGTTTAGGTGTGATAAGTCATGTGTTTGAGGAAAATTACAAAAAGTAGATTTAGAGGTCTTTTGGGTAATGCTTTAATTTTCTGCATTATGAAATAAAATTAATTTTCAGTAACTATATAGACATGTCCTTTAGACATGACAGGGAAGTTACATCCCTGAAATTTGAACAGAACAGTAGCCTAAATAAGACTAGCTGAATGATACCACCAGTGGAACTGCAAACATGGATGGATGAAATTTCATGAAGCTTACCCAGTAAATGAAGACCTATAGGCAATTAATGACTTCTGAGAGAGGGGAAATTAGTTTTCTCCAAGGGCAACCCCTCTAATAGGTTATCCAATCCCAAGTGATCAGTCCTAACGCATAAATATGACTCAGTATTAAATAATTAAAGCCCAGTATATGTGAAGCCACTGAGACCTCAAGATCGAGAGTTTAAAAAATTAGATGTGGTAATCTTCATAAGTACCCAACCTGAGACTACTCATACATCACATAAAATGTCCTAGCATTTGCATGTGATCTATATACATCATCATGGATCCTGTAGGAAAAACATCCTAAAGCAAAGGTTAGTTATCAAGAGGACTAGCTGTAACATTTGCAGTTGGTCTCTGAGTAGAAGGTGATACTTTTCTGAAGTTCTTACCTAAACTCTTGCCAGAGTGTTATAATAATGTGCACCATCTCAGCTAGCTAGTCTGGATTTGTCTAGAGTAGTTTTAGTTGGAAACCGATCTCTGAGTGGTATGTACTAGTTCAAAGACATCAAGTTGAATCAATGTAGTGGGGCCGCATCTTCTTTCTGGAGACTTCAAATATTGCTGTTAGGAAATTTTATTGTTCATTGTGAAAGACTTTAAAATTAATATCAGTACAGAAGGTTTAAATTTTAAAGGTATGCATACTGAAAAGGTATAAATAAGGATGAAAATAAGTATGAGAAAAATTTGGATTTTCAAGAGATAAGAGAGTTTTACAATAATAGTCCCTAGATTTTGTTTTCTTTTGTCTCAAACCAGTTGACTCTTCTGATATGAGACAGAAGCTCTGAAATTTTTTTAACAACATGCTTGGATTTAGATAAGGAGAGCCACAGTCCAACTCCAAAGCCAGCTTAGATTTTCACAAGATTTGGGATGACTACTACTGTACTTGGAAGTAAGAAGATATAGGTGTTTAGGTAGAGTGATTTTACCCCATATAGATATTAGTACCATAAGTCAAATTCTTCTTTGTTTGATGATTTTATTTTTCTGGATAGCTATTCTTTTTTCTTTAGGCATGTATATGTCTGATGTCTTTTGCCTTCTTGAAGATGGCTGTTTTCTGTTTTCCTGAAAAGACAAAAACAGAACACTTCCCTGACTTTTGTGAGGTTTCCTTACAACTATGTTGGAGCATTGTCAGATTTTATTTGTGCAGGTATAACTGTAATAGCCATTACTTCTAAAAGGCGAATAATAACAGAATCATCCCTTTCAGAGCTTCGAGCAGTTGCCCCTTGAAACACTGAAAATGTGTCCATTGTATGCTATAAATACATTAATATTTCAAATTCTGCAAAATGAAACACATTCATTTATCAAATTTCATTTCTATGTATACCTCTAGGGTTACTACCTGCTGGTAAAGGATTTTGGTTATAGAAGGAACAAGTAGGGATTATTTTTAACTATTTCCTTAACTTGTTGTCAAGTGATAGGAAAGTTCTTTTTCAAATATTTGCTATTCACATTGCATTTATAGTGAAATTTTGAGGCCGCCAGCACACTTCCTATTAGTATTTCTATCAATTTCATCATCTTATGCTAGAGG